TCAAAAGATCCGGTTAGAGCGAGTCGCCAGTAAACAACTCGCTGATTCAAAAGATCCGGTCGGAGCGAGTCTCCAGTAAACATCTCGCTGATTCAAATGATCCGGTCGGAGCGAGTCGCCAGTAATGATCCGGTTAGAGCGAGTCGCCAGTAATGATCCGGTTAGAGCGAGTCGCCAGTAAACAACTCACTGATTCAAATGAAGAAAATATGTGCAAACTTTATAGTTTTTTTACTTAAAAACATTCTTACGAACTTAGAATTTATCTATATGAAATATCTTCACTTCCATCTCAACAACATTTTTGTGAATCCGGTCCCTCGTTTTCAGATTTTTTGGGATGTTGTCTCTTAAGATTGACATTCACTTGCTTCACATAATAAAATAAGCTTTTAATTTAAATTCCGTTCATTGAAATTTAAACCCCAATGAAAGTATCAACAGAAACTGATTATTCTGATGACGTAACAGTGTTGATTTGTGGAAGTGATTGGTTGTGTTGACGGAAAGCATGCTTTTGTTCCTCCTGCAGGCGTGTTACGGGATCTTGAAGGTGCCGCAGGGTAACTGGCTGTGCCGAATCTGTGCCCTCGGAGTGCAGCCCAAATGTCTGCTTTGTCCCAGGAGAGGAGGAGCTCTGAAACCCACGCGCAGTGGAACCAAGTGGGTCCACGTCAGCTGTGCCTTATGGATCCCCGAGGTATCGGCTGAAGTCAGTCTGGGAATAGCAGTTATAAGTAGTGTTCATTTTAATAGTGCACCGAAATACCAGCTTTCGAAAAATGTTCGGTTTCTAGAGACAAATCCAGGACGCAAACTGCAACATTTTGGCTCACTTCTTTACAAAGTTTAACATGAAAAGGCAGCGTGCATGTGAAATCATTCAGTTGTAATCATATATATAATGTAAACGCTGGCTGTTAATAGCTTGCGTTTGAGACACATGCACCTGCTCTAATGTGTTGAGAGGCACGTTTAAAAGGACAGTGTGCATGTTTGTGCTGTCGACTATGGACAGCATGATTACAGACACGCTTGCATTTGCTTTTCCTAATTTTCCTAATATTTTTCCCTAAAACAGTTTGAATTGTCATACAATTAGAATCAGAATCTAATTGTATGACAACTCAAATAGCTCAAAATGTAGCTCATATCGTACTAACGAGGAGCATTTTGTGTTTTTTGAACAGATGGCACGCATGCACCTGTCATTATACAGACACTGAGAGACACCACACATACGAGCTCGTTGCATCTCTAGACGTGTTTTAGGCAAATTCGGGCACGTGGTCACTCATTATAAATAGGGCTGGGCAATATGGCCAAAAAAAATCAAATCTCAGTGTTTTTTTTGCTGAATTGCGATATACAGCATCTCTGTATTTTCTGCGTTTTTCCATTTTGGATTATAAATATATATCAGGGCTCGCAAAAAGTCTAAATCCCTGGTAGCCCTTTGGGCAGGTACTCTTCAGATTTT